TTTTCTTTTTTTTTTTTTTCTTTGCCGAGTAGTTAATCGTGTGCTCTACTTATGTTGATTATTACGAGTGCCGCTTGAGAGAGAGGAAAAAATTGTTTGTCGTTGATTGATAAATTTGAAAAGAAGGTTCGTTTCTTTTTTTTTGTTCTTTGCTTAAATATTATAAGGAATTGATTGTATTTTTCATGGAATTAATTTCGTTACTTATTATTATTTACAACCGATCCTTACTTAGTCCAAATTGAATTCGTAATTCTCACCAGTGTCGATATAGCAAGGGATTATTGCATTTCTAAAAAAAAGAAAAAAAAAAAAATTTGTACAAACGCGTAAGAAAAACGCAAGTTTCGAACTAATTTTTTCTTTTCTTTCAGTATGACGATGGAGGGCTGCACTCGAGTTATCTCGAGGGCGGAGGTGGAGGAGGTGGTGCAGGGCTGTACGATCCACACGGGAGCGCCCGGGGTGTTCCTGGCCTCCATCACAGTCCACACCTCGGAGGTATGGGGCCTGCACACCCTCAGTATCCACCGCCCCCACCACAGCCACCCCAACACGTTCTCGCGGCGGCGGCCGCGGCTGCAGCATCCGCGGTACCCGATGTCCACAAACGCGACAAGGACGCGATCTACGGGTGAGTTCATTTCTCTTCTTCTTCTTCTTCTCTCTGATCTCCGATATATTTCTCGACACTCGTTCCGCGAGAAGGGAATAATTAAAAAATAATTCCCTTCTCGTTTTCGATCGATTCTATATCAAAGAAACGAGAAGAAAGAAATTCGAATCGAAATTCGATTTGTTTTCGTTGGATTGCAATTTCTCAATTAAAAGATAAAGAAATATTTCTTCAAGTTATTTCTTGAATTCTTCGCTTATATATCTTTTCATAAATCGAATATCATTGTTGTGTTTACGAAATTAACAATTTATAGAGAATTCTTCGTAATCTCAACGAAACTGAAAAATCTTTCTAATTCCAGGATACATAAATATCTTTTAACCGTGTAATGTGAAAATTTTTCACGTATAGTATCGTTAAAATTGCAATTTTCATAGGAAAAAAAATCGTATTTCGAACGATTTCAACGATAAAAGATTAAAGTTCATCGTCATATATATATATATATATACGTGTCTGGTTGATATACAATTAAAACGCGCGGCGCACAAAATCGGTCGAGTTAAAATCCATTATCAGAAGGGGGTCGGTTAATACTTGACCGTTTAACGCACCGCTCGCGTTAATACGACCCCTATCGGCATTAATCTGCTCGTAACTTTCGCCATACGTCGAGGCCTGGCATCGAGGAATGCGGCGTGTCTACAATGGGGGTTTGATAAATCGTAATGAACGCGTGCTTTACATGAAAATTCATGACGCGTTACGCCACTTATTTCTTTATTGCGACACCGCCACCTTGCTTTTTCGCTCTTCTCCGAATCCCCTTACGTCGAACGAAACAAAAATGGCCAACGAATTTCAATGGCCCGAGGAGGAACGTACTCGCATGTATATACGAGCAAGTTTTTCTCCCCTTTTTGAACTTTCCTCCTCCCGATCGATAAAAATAAATTTCCAACGTGCACGCGTGCACATCGATGTTCACTCTGATCGATGATGATTCACGATTCGTAATAAAAATTCGGTGGATTCGTGTCGTCCCTTTTCTTTCTCGGTGAGAAGAACAGTGCCGTGTTCGCTTTTCTCCTCCGAAGCGATTTCTTATAGGGTGTCTCGGGCGGAATTATCTTGCTGCTCGACACGTTCCCCGCTTCTTTTTTGCGCCGCGTATTTTTAACAGTGATAAAGTATGGTAATAAGAATGTGGCAAAGAAACTTCTTGCATCTTACTTATCCTTTAATAATTAGACACATTGCTATACACTCGTAGAGCGAAAATATTCTTTCCGTTTCTTTTTACTGTACAGGTCTTATATTCGAAGAGAAGAAAGCTTCACGAAATTATTGATTAATTTTTATTATTTACCAATATTGCAACTCGAACTGTTAATTCTTCTCTCAAAGAAATTTCGAAGCTCGACACTTACTTCCATCCAAAGAAGAAATTAAAAAAAGGAGATCTGGAAAGGGGAGAAAAATAATAAGATCGGTGTGTTTACGGAGAAAGGTAAAAATTGGGGGGGTAAAACTATGGCGATTCGCGAGGGAAACGTATATATATATATATATATTCGTTTGTGCCTCGTGCCACGCTCCCAACAGCCTCTCTCTGAAACTCGTCAATTGGCCGTTTTACGAAGCTGCTCCGCCGTGTTCCGTGTGATTTATAGCCGCGAGATGGCCCGATTTCTGGTATACATCCTAGAACGGGAGCCTCATTATTTCGTGCACCCTGTAATTTGTCCACTCGTCGTGTGCCCCGACCCCTCGACCACCCCCCCCCCCCTCCTCTTATCCCCCGTCGGATTCCTGCGCTTTCTCGGAACGGTTCGCCTCGGCGGCCCGTTACGAGGCGGCGTTTAAACCCCCTTCTCCTTGAACCCGCCCGTTCATTTCCTTGGCCTTCGTTGATAAACCCGTTGTTTGAAAACCGATCGTGCACCGGCCGATTGAGCCGTCCAATCGTGAAATCGCGAGCCAGTTTTCAGTCTCCTCGCCCGGCGCCTCCACTGCGTTTCTCCGTTGCTCCACTCTGCGTGGAAAATTGTCCACAACTTATCCGCTCACTTCGACTTGGCGAGAAACGGCGATTTGGGGCCTTGCGAGGGATATTGGGGATATCCGTGGGAATACGCGGTGTCCAAAAAATTTATGTATCGATAGAGTATAGTAGGGATTGAGTTTTATGAGTGAATGATCGGTGTTATCAATTTCTAGATTTTCCGTAAAATAATCGTATAGCAATATACGGGTATAACATTCTGTACATAAACTGCGAAATAAATATTATTTTAGGCGGGAAATTTATAAACCTCTGACATTTATATTTCTAAATATAAATGACTGCAATTAATTAAAAATATAAAAACCTTTCGAAATAGGTCCTTTTTTCCATGTTTAATTATGGGACTCCTATACTTTCCGCGGTTAAAAATAAGAAATACAAGTACGTATACCGACTATCTTTTCGCACGAGAGAGAGACAGTCCACTTACCTTTGCCATTTTCTAATTGACTCGATCCGATCGTTATCGCGGACAGATCGATTGCGAATAGACGCTCGTAGGAAAAAATTTCGAACGATGATTCTTGCCACGGTTCTTCAGTGAGCCACGAAAGAGTTTTACGTAAGCTTGGCAGAGAGAGAGAGATATATATATATATATATAACGGACAGGCGAATCTGCCAATCACTGCTCGGAGCTCGGATCCTTATGCAAGGAGGATGATTGGCCGAGTCATTTATGGATTAGACGTCTTGCGCAAATCTCTCTCTCTCTCTCTCTCTCTTTCTCTCTTGAACGAGAATTAAAATGAGGAGGGAAGGGGAGAGGTAACACACGTTTCGCGTGTTCCTGTGATCCTGTGGCCAGCAGGAAGTGGTCAAACGATTTCGTACGCTCTCCTCTGTTTAATATCCCATTTTTCTGATTGACGATAATTAGTGCATTAGAGTGACGTTTCAGCAGATGAGCGGCTAATGAATATTAATGCACCGTTTAATGGAATTGATTGGTGAGCGCCAGTCTCTCTGATTACATCACACGCGTTGTAATTGCACGGAAACCCTGCGGAGGAACAGGGATATTCCGTTCTTTCGCTCAACGTATCCACGAAGGGGAACGATTAAAACGATTGAAGCTACTTTTCAACTCGGTTCGTTCGAAATTTGTCCCTTTTTTTTCTTTTTTTTTATTCTTCCTTGATACGCGGATGATCGTCTTCCCTCTCGATTTCTCAATATTCGTTTCCTTTATTTTTTTTCTTTTTTTTTTTTCGAGTCGAACGCCAGTCACGAATCCGCGAGGACCGCGTCTTTAAAGGGATAAAGGGGGGGACAGTTGAAGGACCACCTGTGGAGATTTCGATGAACCGTATCGCGGTTTCCGCTTGCTTATTATCAACGTCACACGCTGCTTTTTATTTAAACGGCGATAAAATCGGCGCGCAAAACCGATATGCAAAGCGGAGCGAGCGGGTTCACCTCGAGTTTCGAGGGTTGCGTTTTACTAAGAGAGAAAAAGAAAGTGTCATCCTTCTCGAGATAAAAATAGAACAAAAATACCTCGCTCTTAGATGCTACCGTGTTAGCGCGTATTCATTCAGAAACGAACTCTAACTCTTAAACGAAGAGAGCTCGACTTATCGCAAAATCGCCGCAATCTTCCATTTACGCCCAATTAACACCGCCATTCGCCACGGTCAATAATAACCGCCAATCGTCCTCTCCTTTTCGAGGACCACGTGCTCGAAACGAGAGAGCCGGGGGAAAAAGATGAGACCACCGTACAAAAACCGATGATGTCGACGAATCCGGAATCACCATCGCACCTTCGAACTGATGGTGGTGGTAGTAGTGGAAGTTAAACTGGTCGAATCACAGCGTGAAATTGCCGATGGCGGCGTGTGTATATAAAAAAGAGAGAGAGAGAGAGAGAGAGAGAGAAAAGAAAAGAGGAAAAAAGAGGAAAGAAGAAGGGCCGGGTCGGTTAAGGGCAAATAGGAGGGCCCCTCCACGGGGCCGGGAATCGAGGGCGGAAACCGCAAAACCGCAAACATCCTCCGCGTCCACCGGACAATCATATCATTACCCTCTGCGGTCCCGTCATTCCGACACCTCGTTTCGACCCGTCATTTGTCATCGACGTTGCACTTTGCCGTTGCACCGCGCACCCGCTTAAGAACCGCGGTTGCACCACCCCGCCATTCATATGGCTCGTGGTTTTCCTGATTGCGCGAAAGACAAACCGCACCAAACCCCTCTTTTTTACCGGAATAACCTGTTAATAAAACCGCTTTTGATTCCATTCTCTTCTCTTTCCTACGTAAATACGTGTCTTTTTTTCCTTCTTTCTTTCTTTCTTTCTTTCTTCATTTTTTTGCTCTTTTTCTTTTCGTTTGCCCCGACGAATCATGGCATTCAGGGTTGATGTTCCAAACTTGTTGTATTGTTCTTTGAAACTCGTCGTTGTTTTCTAATTGGTAAAAGTAGGAGAGCGTTTCATTGTATAGATATTGGCGGTTTGACGAGATTCAACCTGTGACGATCATCCCGTATATGCGGTGAAAGTGATCGTTCACCTGGATCCTTTTTACGCTGCATCCTTAGTTAACCAACTGGTGGAAAGTTATATATATATATATATATATATATATATATATATATGTATATGTATATATATTTTTACTCGATTTCTGTATAAAGATAAAAATTTATCGATAAATTATTACACGTGTGTTTATAAGCCATTCTTTTAATTAACACGTTGTAAACATTCCCTGTTCACTGTTCATTAAAATTCATAATTTCCACCCTTCGTGCATCCGCGCGACGATTATATTTCCAATTACGAGGATGGTGCGGGTCAAGTGGCTCGAAAGTGTGTGTATTTCCTATCGCAAATCCCGTGGATACCGATATTCGACCTAGAATATCACGAAGAGACCGAGTTTCCTTGGTTGAAAACACGTGGCTCTAATTAAATCGATACCATCTAACCGATGAGACGAAAACGGCATCACTCGATTCTCCATCCTCGATAAACACGGCGCGCGTTAATTTCTCGCTTTTTCACGACCGACAATAATCGGTAATATATGTTACACAATAATTAAGCATAACGAGAGAGGCTTGGTCGGTGTCTGCTTTTCATCCACCATCCGATCCTCTTCGTTTCGCCCGTTCGCGCGTACAATTAGGCTAATAGGTGAAAATAGAAATCCCTGGCGCGATAGAAAACGCAGAACGAAGCGGAGAGAAAGTCTCGAGGACGATGCGGGAAGTTATCCAGATGTTAAATTAAGTTTCGAAAAAGCGGGACGATCGGGAGTTGTGCAGTAATAATAACCATATCCGAGAACTGGAAACCGAAACCTTCGTAATTTGCATAATTTCTTATCGATCGAAAAAAATATCACTGCCCACAGTGTCAAATCATTCTTTCTTTTCTACATAATTTTTCTTCTCTTTTTCTTTTTCCTTTTTGTACATAATTTCCCGAACTCCGCGGGAATCTATCAAACGAAAGAGTTCTTTCCTAATCTTTTTTCGATCTTTTCATTTTTTCCTAAACGAATCGAAAGAGAAAGAGAGAGAGAGAGAGAGAGAGAGAGAGAGAGAGAGAGAGACGTTGGCAATTTTATTTCAATCGCAATTTCCAATCCTCGCTATAGTTAGCTCACCGGATAACTTCACTTGTCATTCGGAAAAAAATAAAAGGCACTGGACTGGGAGGGGAGAGGGGGGTTGGAAAGGTATAAGAGTGGTCTAGGTGCACGGAACGGAAGGAAAGGGAACGAAAGAGGGCACGAGGATTTTTTTGCCGTCTCGAAGTCCATTGCTCGCGTCGGGCCCCGCGTCAATTTGTCGAAATTCGTTCCGATTCGTTTTATGTCTGCCACGCCGCGAGACCGCGACCCGCTACCATACGTACACAATGCCTCTGAAATGCCTCTGACCACGGTGCTACCACGTATATATCCACCGTGAGCCGTTTCGTCGGGGCCGAATTCGTCTCGAGACCTCCCGAGGACGCGTTAAAATTCGTTCATCTCTGTTTCGATGGTAAGAAAAGGGTAAAGGAAGAAAGGTCGGTTTCTCTCGTCGTTTCGTTCCCTTCTCTTCCTTTCTTTTTCTATCCTCCTTCTCTCCCTCCCCTTCCCCCCCCCCGCCCTCTCTGTTTCTCTCTGTCTCTCTTTCTCTGCCGTGTCCGCGCACCACCGAGAAATTGTTCGTTTCCCGCTGAGAATTGTTCGACGATTAGACCGGGGTAATTGAGCGATTAAGGTTGATGCAAGTTGTCAGGGTTTTCGGATGAAATGCGGGCTGGCGTCGAGAAGTTCCTGGCCGTTGGAATCGGACTGGTCTCACTGTTAAAGGATATCGAACAGCGGGGCAACGCTCTAGTATGGAAAGTAATAAACTGGACTGCGTAACGTTTATGCAAATTCGCGTTTTTACGAACGTAACTTAAGAAATTCGCTTTTTTTTCCTTTTTCTTTTTCTTTTTTTTCTTTCTCTCTCTTTCTCTCTCTCTCTCTTTCTTTACATATCGGAATATACGGATATATACTACAGGCCATTTAATAGTTACAACCGACATTTTATTTTGAATATTTATATACGCGTATTTTTTTCGCATTTACGTGTATTCCTTTACATTTTCTTGCCGCTTCTTATGGATACATAAATTATAATAGCGTAATAATAGCACTTAGTATTTTCTAGATCATTAACTTTTTAGTATTGAGATCGTTAAACACGCATCTTGCCGATTTCAGATCGTTGAAATCGATATAAATACGAGTGGTATAAAATGTTAAAGACAAATGTAAATTTCGTACGAGCGTAATAATAATTAATAAAAGCGTCGTTAATCGTATTATTGGGGAGATGTTATGTGGAGAAATATATTCGCCCGGGGGAAATAAATCGTCTCGAAACGATCCGTCAAAAATTATTTCCCGTTGAAAAAGTTGAAGGAAAGTATATAAGGAAAAGTATACGAGGTAAAAATTTGTAATTTATCGCATGTAAATCTAAAAAGAGAAAAAGAAAAAGATACAATACATAATTAAACAATTAAGCGGAGGAAAACGGAAGAGGTAATTAAAATTAATTATTACGATCATCAATAACGCTGATATAAATCCTATTATTTGCAAAAAAAAAAAAAAAAGAAAACACGATATACCTTTATTTCCTTTTCCTTCCTGTTCCAGATTCATTACACCGTACATATATTCGCAACAATTAATAAACCCTCATTATACGAAACTCTTGCAATCAAGAATGCGCGCTGTAGATCATTTTAAATTGTCACGCGCGTATTTTTTTTCTTCGAGGTGTATTACGCACCTTTAAATCACGAGCCACGGTGCTCCCCACCGGTTGCAACGTACGGTTGCACCAGCATCGGCTAATCTTATCTTATCCGGTGATCCTCCTAATGCCGCGCTGTGTAACTGTGCACGCCGCGCCAAGAACAAGCCGCGGAAGAACAAACGTGAAAAATATTCTTCCCGCCCTCGTGGCTGGAATTTCCAACTTGGAGACAAGAAGTACGTTTAACGTAAGATCGATTATTTACAACCTGTCGATACGCGAAGTGCGGTACAATCGGCCGCGAAAGTCCTCGTTATCTCGCAAACAAGATTCACTTAACCTAAAAAAAAAATCCTGATTCCTATTGTACGTATAAAAAAAAGTGCCTCGAAATTCTATCTCTTTTTTCTTATATAATTTCAAGTTATCGTATCGTACAAGCACGTTAGAATATTTCTTACGATAATGAAGCATGGCAAAACTCGAGATTTTTCTAATTTGAAAATTTCTCTTCTTCACGTCGTGCGTTAATCGTATATCGATTAATGCTTGATTTCTAGCGCGTGTTTTATTTAATAAAAATTACTTCGTTATCCTTTAACCGCGTCGCGATGTTTCGCGTAAAATGGGATTATGATGGGATTTTTAATAACGTAACCCGTTGTAATTAAGCTCGTGTAAAGTATGCGAATACTTTTGTGACCGACTGTAGATAATTAACGCGCGAAATAGAAATCGTTGCGGACGATTTTTATGGTATCGAAGTCGGTCGAGCACACCTTGCTTAATTGACGCGTTCTACGCTTTTTACATGTTTTTCTTTCACCGCGGGCTATACACGAGACCGACATACGTTTTCTCGCGGACCAATTACTCAATTAGAAAAGTGTCGTTGAGAAAAATATATATATATATATATATATATATATATTTATATATGTATATGTGTGTATGTATATGAAAAACGATACGATGAATCGGCCAACAAGGCAACGTGTAAACTTATCGGGCAACATTTGCAAGAACGCGAAGCGATCGAGTGCCGTCGGATCGAGAAAGGGTTCACCTTGCGAGTTGAACATCAGTCGTGAACGATTTTTGATAGAAACTCGTCGATGTTCGATTTCGATGTATTTTAATCGGTGGATGTAAAGAATATTTTTTTTTTTTTTTTCTAATTTTCTTTATCATTTACTTTGATTTGTATTCAAATATAAAAGAAGATGGATTTGGTATTATCGTGATTGATATTTTTTTTACTTTAACGTCAAGTGAGTCATGCATTTAAACAGAAAAATATCAAAAATATTATATTTATATTGTTATATACTTGTATCGTGGAATACATAGAAATTTTAATGTATTTTTCTATTGCTTATATATTGTTACATTACATTTTTATATTTTTTAATTGTTCCATTAATTTGTTCGCCTCGTTAATATACAAAAAAATGTAAGACTAATGTTTCGAATTACGTTAATCACGTTAAAATTTATTATGTAAAATATATTGCGAGTGTAATTAAATTGATCGAAAGAAAAGAAAGAAAAATAGTAATTAAAAGGAAAGAGAAATAGTATTTCCGATAATCCCTATTATTTTATTTTATCGTGAAAATGGCACGTAATTGCACGTAATATCCCAATTTTGAACACGATTTTTATTCAACCTCGCTTTCACCGTTTCGTTGTTGTTTTCACGGCTTTCTTATCTGCATCTGCTCACGTTGTCTTTTGCTCGCGTTTTAATCGACGATATCGTTTACCGATGCAAGGATAAATATATCGAGGGTCGTGTATACATCTTCAGCGTCGTTCTCTCTTCTTTCCACCGGAAGAAAATTTAAGATTCAGAGAGAGAGAGAGAGAGAGAGAGAGAGAGAGAGAGAGAGAGAGAGAGAGAGAAAATCGTTGAATAAATCGTTCGAAATATGAAACGGGCTTGTTGACTAGTCACTGAATTAATTAATATCTCGAATTGGAAATACATTCGTCTCGAGTGAGATACCGTTGAGACGGTGGTTTGAGGCTCACTTTTATCTCATATTGACTTTCTCCTTGTTACAGACACCCCCTGTTCCCGCTTCTCGCGCTGATCTTCGAGAAGTGCGAGTTGGCGACGTGTACGCCGCGCGAACCTGGCGTAGCGGGTGGTGACGTGTGCTCGTCAGAAAGCTTCAACGAGGACATCGCTGTCTTCTCCAAACAGGTAAGCGTGTCTATTCCATACTTTATACGATAAATTAATATTCTATTCGATAATACGTCGTTCGACGTTTAATAAATTAAAGCTGGCAAAACTGGTGTTAATTTGTCACTGAATTTAGGATTTTAAGAGATTTTTTTTTTTTTTTCAAAATACCGAAAGGGAATATTTAAATAAAAAATTCGTCAACGGTGACGGTATATTTCAGTTACACGAGAATTCAATTAAACGGAGAATGTTGGAAAATGTTGCGACGATTATTTCAAAACCATCGAGTACAAATTTTATCGTACGGTAATTGCATTTAGGGTAAAGATTAAAATATATTGGAGGGCAATTTTTTAAATAAATATTCATGAACATGATGAAAATATATATATTTTTTAATCGCGCGAAAATTCGATCGAACAGAGATTTCAAAACGTGCGACGGATTTATTTTAAAACCTTCGCGTAATGTTGCGAAAAAAAAAAAATAAATTATATCCGAAACAAAATAATTGAATAAATAATTGAATAACGCGAATGAAATAAAAATTAACGTCAAAAAATTCAATCGAAACGTGAGAATTCGAAACTAGTGCAAACTAGTATTTCGAAATCGTCGTGTACAAATTTTTCAAAGGAAGCAAAACGCGTAGAACTCGGCTCGTAGCTCACCCCATATATATATATATATATATATCGAAAACTGAAAAACACCCCTCGTTTCCCCAATTCCAAACGTTGTCGTTGCTCAACGTTGCGAGTGCTCCGTGAGAGAATGTTCGAAAGTAACCTTTTTTTTCCAACGAAGAGGATACACTTAGAAAAGAAGAGAGAGAGAGAGAGAGAGAGAGAATTTCGGGCCGCTCCAAATGAGTCACGACTCTCTCGACACGTCCTTCTCTCAGGCGACGAAATAACGTTGCGCGGCCATGGATGTAACCCGTGGATGTTTAGGGTCTCGAAGGAGAGGTTGGCTCTCGTCGGTTGGAACTTATTTTTAGGAATTCCAACGAGCCACCCGACGACGAGCATCGAGCGAAAGATCGTTCTCATGGCCGCGTTCTCCGTCTTACGGTACGTTCTACGGACGAGGCGGAAGAAGGCACAGAGTTATAGAGGTCTGGTTGTTGTTTTCGCGGTTCTTCTTTTCTCCTTTACCATTCTCTCTTATTCTCTCTCCTCGTCGCCTAGTTTTTCACTCGTTGCTTTACGGGTCCTGGTCGCTCTTCCCGCACAGGTAAACTCACCTGAGGCGAGTCCTGCCAAGGACACACGCGTAGGTAACCGGAGAACCTATATACGCGAAATGATTCCGGGCCTTTTAAAAACACACCGTTTCGCCGTTTCTACGCTCCCCGGCCCGGTTCGACTTCGAAAAAGGTCGCCTCTCTAAGATCGGTGTTGGAGCACGTTCAGGTATATATACACATCCGTGACCGTGTCTCTCTCCCGTAGAAACCTTCTGGGAAGCGGATGGATTTGTCGTCGAGAATAAATTATCGATTTTTCTTCCTCCATGGTCGTGGCAAAAATAAAGGGAAAAAGGAGGGGGGAGTCCGTGGGATGGAAATGGGAATTGGGAAGCAACCGTTCGTACGTATTTCTCACAGGAATGATAGAGGCGGTTTCGCAAAGGCACGGGAATAACAGCGGTGCCGGTGGGGGATATTTGCCCGTGGAAACAAAGCATAGGCGATTAAGTCGGAGCCGACTGTACGCACGATAAAAATGTTGCCTTGGTCGTTCTTTGCGCGTTTAGTCGATGCAAACGAATGCAGCACATTTAGATTGAGGGATATCGGCGCCTATGTATATCGCGGAGCTAGATAGCCAAGCTGCTCGTGGGTTATCTTTGCATAAAATTGCACTTCTGCCTTCGACCAAATTCCTCCATCTCGCCTCCATGGGCCACGCTGGTTAATTATTCCGTGAACCCGTTTTCAGAGGGGGTTGCGTAGGGGTTACGTGGTAAATTTCGTTAGAACGAGTTTTCCTACGTGCGCCGAAAAGTCAACTACGTACACGTTTAAATATAGAGCGTGGTGACACGGTAGCAATCGACCCGACTCACAGTACGGACAGATAACGTTAAGCCTCTAAGTCGCGAGGTGGGATAAGGGGCGAGCTGGCTGCTCTTCGCGTTAATTAATTCGATGCTACGTCACCGCGTATGCGTTCGTGTATGCGATTAGAAAATAAGCTACGCTTTAAAACAAAAAGGAAAAAAAAAAAAAAAAAGAAAAAAGAGAAAAAAAAAGAAAAACAGTTGAATCTTTTCTTCTTCTCTATTCTTTTATCCTCGATCGTTTGGTATTCTCGTTAAATCGTTCGCCTATGTTCAACCATCCTATTATTTATCCGCGGCATGTCGACATTATGTCGGCCGAGACAACGGAGCCGCGTACTCACGGAGAGTCCGTTAGGATTGCGAAATTGACGTGACATTTGCATCTTAATAAGGAGCATAGAATTACGCGGCGAAGCGGGAAGCGGGACGAGCGGGAAGTGGCGAGGAGAGGGGGGAGGGAAAAAAAATTATTGAAAGAAGGATACCGTGACGTTTCTCCCGGCGAATCGGTGAACCGCGTGTGGTAAATTGCGCGCCGCCTTTTGCTCCACCGTTTCCTTTTATTTCCGCGGCGATCTCGCGCCGTACAAACGCGTATCTCGTTGACGTTCTTCCTCCACGCGGGACCTCGTATTTCAACCGTGCTATCGACGCAATTAATTTCCTTTTCTGTCCGTTGGAAGCGAGAATGAAGGTTGGAAAGGCGGCAGTGCGCGCGAATCCCTCGCGTGTCGGTATCTTCCTCGAGAAAACGGGAGACCGATTATGTATACGAGAAACTTGGCAAAAAGTTTCGAAACGAGGAAGTGGAAGTCGTAGCCGATACTCTCGGCCGTGGGACGTGTCCCGCTAATTCAGAGATTACGCGCCGTCCTCACGAGCGGATAAACAAATTGTCGAGGGGGAAAGGGCCCACGATTACCCCCTGCCGTTCGATCGTGTTCCCCCTCGGCCCATTCTTGCAAGGAGAGATAATGAATTTTGATATCCAGCCAGCATCAGGCGTTATGAAATTTTCTTCACATTTATCTTCCCGTTCATTATCCTCTTCCACGACGTTTGTAAGTACGCGTATACGCGGGGATTAAATTCATTTCGTTAGCTCGTATGGTCGTCGATGGGAAGATTACACAGCCGATTACATATAGGTAAATCTAAGTCGCCTCGCCCACTCGTTCTTTACTTACCATCGATCTGTCGTCACCGATGTCTAGAGAGGTCGTTTTATAATGTCAGATGGAGAGGGGCCAGGGGAGGAAGCATGGTACACGCACACCGGCGGTACACGTGAAAAGATAAGCAGGTGACAATCCTCTTGCGGCGGTTTTCGAGGCGTGTCCTTCGAACCCTTTTACACCCCGTCGATACTTGGACGAAGATATAGTAGGGCCGGTGCGCGCGACAAAAGGGCCGCGCGCGCCTCGCGTATACGAGATTATTCGTCCGCGTTTCGTTTTCGTTGCGTGCGCGGCACAGGAGCGGGCGCATGCGCGATGGCCTCCTCATGCGCGGCCGGCGCATGCGCAGTCTCAGTCGCGGCACGACCACCGCCGCTGCCGAGTCGTGAGAAGTGACGAACCGTGACGAGATCGGACCACGTTGGAGGGGGTAAAGAAGGGGTGCTCCGCAGCCGGTGGAGAGCGCTGCTCATTTTCTGCCATTGTAAATTGATCTATTCAATGGGGCCCGGTATTATCCCGTGCGGTCCACACATCGTGCGTACTCTATGGGGCCCCGATACATTCCACACGCAACCAGAACCCCGTCTCTCCGCGCTCGTTCCCTTTTTGCGCGTTGCCTTCGAAGCTTCGGCTTTGGCTTCTCCGTGTTCAGGCGGTCTGGCTTGCCTGCGACGTAGCAACGCGCTCGGCAGGAGCGTCCCGCTGTGCCACGTTACGCGCATTGTTGTGCCCTTTTTTACCAGATGGGTCGGCCGTCCCAGTTTTCGTGCCCACAGTGGACACTCCGCTGCGAAAATTTCGTTTTCGTCGGCGTCCTGTTGCGCCGTGTTGCGCTTCGCTGCGTTCAAATTAATCGTTCGTCCGAGGGAGCATCGATGCTCTTTTGTGGCTACCGAGATATATTCGTTCGATGAAATTTCTCATCGATTTTTTTCGCGTCCACCGAAAAAAGAATATAGTATTTATCCGTTGATTTAACTCGCAATGAGGTAATCGCGCCACCTGAAACGCGTAGGTCGCCCTTCGGACGGTCGAAACAGTGGCCAACAGCGTGGAACGTAGGCGTGTGGAGGGCCATCGCGACGGCAAGACGATGAAATTGCGTTGGGCCAGCTTGTAAAGACAACGGTAGAGAAAGGAGGCGAGTGGGAAACGCCGGACAAGGACCCGTCGGGATTTATTGGTGCAATTAGAATGCACCTCCGGGGGCATTAAACCCTTGTAAAACGCTGGCCCCCGCACTCCGACGGCCTGACTAATGCGACCGCGAGACAGGCACGTCCTCCACGCACGCTACCTGCTTTCCCACTTCGAAGGTGTGGACACTGTTTCCTATGAATTTATGTATTTGTTTCTTTTTCTCTCTCTCTCTCTTTCTTTCTCTTTCTTTTAACCAGAGAAGATATTTACGAACAGTTTAGATCTTCTCCAGTGTGCTAAAGAATTTAAAACTTATCTCGAATTTATAACTTACACGAAATCAAACTCTTGTCTTCAATTTTACGAGTTACGACTACTGAATACAAATTAACGTATAACGTTTCAATATTTCGTATCTGATTCGATTATACCAGTTAATATTCTTCTCTCAGAATATTCTTAACTTTTGTAATCGAGTACTTTTATTTATCGCGAATAATATATTCGATTATCTATTTATCGATTAAAACGTTAAAATATCAAAATCTGGAGATAGTCGTAAATTTTATGATTTTCCCTATCAGATATTGATTGAACGATCGTGTTCTAAGATTAAAATGGTTATCAAGGAAATTGTAAAGCAAAGGGTTAAAACTATTTACAAACGAATCAGAACTTGTTTACGCTTATTATTTTTAACGATCCATATTTCGATAAGCGGATCGGCCGACTCCTTCCCTTCTTCTTTCCTTCCCATCCCTCGACAAGGAAGAGTGTAAACAGATGTAAAGTCGCATTATCATAATCGCGATAACAACAGCCGCGACGTCTCTTTTGTCGTCAAAGGCGTGATCATCGTTTCCACGATCGATGCATCGACTTATCTCTCGGTAACGCTACCGGTATTTTCATGCTAAAATTCGATCGGCAATAATCTCGCGATTATACGAATCTCCCTCCCTCCCTCCCTCCCTCTCTCTCTCTCTCTCTCTCTCTCTTTCTCTCTTCCTTTTTCCATGAAATGGAAAAATTTAATAGACTCGCGCTTTATTGCCCGCTTTATTGGCCGCTTATAAAATCGATGCAATTAAACGTGATTACACGGAATTCCAGAGCGTTGAACGATCCCTGGTCGCTCGCTTATCGATGCTTTTTGAACGGCTCACCAGTCGATCCTAATTAACGAAACGTGGTTAGCGCGGGAAAGTTGTAAAATCATTCGCGTTCTTATTCTTGAAATTTTTATATATCCTGTGCAAACTTTACGTGAAAAAAATTCACCAACGATTGAATGGAATTCATCAATAAAATAGAAATTAATTTTTATATTTTGCTAGAAAAATTTGGATCGAGAACGATTTAAAGCTATCCAATATTGAATCATAATCTATAGATTAGGAAACTTTAATCCGTAAAACGTAACAAAGTTTTATCAGATTATTATCTGATTAATTCTCGTCGACGAAGCTTCCAACGATTTCCTAAGTCCTGTCCATATGCTCACTCACCTGGCTACCTTCCCCATGCTACCTTCGCTAATCGTTCAATCGTTATCTCTCATTCAAGGACACCTCGATTACCCTACGATCCATTTTTAAATACGCTAGATGGGCGTGTTTCCATTTCACCACTTACATCGATCAAACTTTAAAAATTAACTTTTCATCCTTTCGTCTCGTATCTCTCCTAAAGCACTGTTACTTTATGAAAGAAAAAAAAAGAAAAAAAAAGAAAGAGAAAAAGATAGAAAAAAAGAAACATTGTAGAATTTCTTTTCTCACAAAACAAGCTGCGTGTGCAGCTGCGTTTTCATCTTCGAAACCTGGCAATTAACCAACTTATCCTTAAAAAAAAAAGAAGAAAAAAAAAGAAAAAAAAGAAACTTTTACAATCTCCTCCATCGTCCCTCCGGTAAGATTAACTTCAACTTCTTGCTCGATTCTTTCGACGACTTTGTCCAAATTTCTTTACAACCTCCAGGTCAATCTGGTTACCTCGAGTAGTCAAGGTCCTCCGGAGAAAGTCAACGAGCGACGAACTTTACGCTCGTGTCGTTCGGAAAGACATGCCGCCATTATATCCTCCCGTTCGAAAGTGGTCACTGGAGGAGACCACTGCACGTTTTCGTGCCGCGAAGGTGTCGTAAAGTTTGCGCAGGGTGCAATTCGTTTTATTGCGTGAAGACAATCACGGTTTGGGACCTCTAACTCTCGTCTAACTCTCTTGGAGGAAGGGAGGAAGAGGGCCCTTTTTATTTTGATCTCTCAGTCGATCCAGGCCGAGTGAGTGCGTGTACAAATGGGCCGACAAATCGTTACATAATTCCCCGTAGTTGGCGCGAAACGACGACGGTTCCTCGTCGAGCGAAAAATGGAAGCTTTGACGGGGCCGGGGGAAACGCACGATGGCCGAGAAGGAAACACCAGAAGAGCAACACGGGCACAGCGGAGGAGCAGCTGCTTCGTATATCTCTCGGCAGGATCGTCGCACACACCGCCAACTTGCATACCACCCTGTCCTAAACAGACGTGCCGGAACGAGAGCATTCTCTAAATATTATCCGGCGCAATATTTTTATCTTGCGCCGGATGATACAGCCTGATCTTGATGGAATTTTCCTCTGACGTCCAATATATATATATATATTTATATTTGTATATATTTATTATTTTTGTACGCGAGATTGGTTCATTCTTATCCTCGTTTCACAAAGAAAAAAGAAAAAAAAGAAAAAGAAAAAAAAAAATAAGAGAAAAAAAATTAAAATAAAAAGATCGAGGTAAAAACTTTGCTCTTATTTTTATCGGAGCTCGGAATAGAAAGTGCCTGTTCAATGGTACTGGCTCGATGCTTAATTTCGTTTCATTCGCCATAAATATGGAGGATCTCGGATATTTAACGGCGGCCAGCGTCACATTAATAGCGCTCGTATCGCTTTATACATATGCATGGGCTCAATTAGCTGTCACTCGCAGCCCCCCTGCCTCTAATCAGCGCGATACAGTCGTTTCGATCGAGGCCGATAAAAGGCGCAAAACTTTCGCGCCAATTCTCCTTTACCCACCCCTCTCTGGAAACCATTTATTTCCTTCGCGTGAAATTCCTTCCGAATGTAAAATGTAAAATTTCCCAATGATATATACATGCGTGCAATTCGCGACACGTCGAAATAGGTAAGGATATAAAATAAAATTGGGGACGAGAGAAGGGGACGAGGCTGCTTACAATTTGTAATCGACGTGGATACCTGAACGGGCGTTTAGGTCGCCGCTTGGGGATCGTCGAAAAAGCAACGGTGACAGGGGCCAGTGCAAGAACTAGTTCCCCCCTACGAAGAGTTGACAGTATTTTTGTGCGGCTTACAAGACGCCTTCATTATCCATACACCCGATGCGAGAGGAACTCCCATTCAGAATTCAGCCTCATGAATATACGTTCCTCAGGCCCCGTTCCCAGAATTCTTCGCAATAGTCGCGGGACTCGACCGGTTAACTCGATTTTAACGTTCCACCCGTTTTTCCGGCCGGATTCCTTCGTTGTCAGTCGGCAGCCTCTGATTTAATCATTGCGATACTCTTCCTGTAACGACTCTTCCTCGAATCGAATGTTGGATTCCCTTTTTTTCTTCTTCTTCTTCTTCTTCTTCTTCTTTTCTTGCGCCATTCTTGCCTCGAACACGTCGATTCTTCTTCGCGATTTTCGAATTTCGAATCGACCATCTCCGTTCGCGTAAGGAGAATCAATTAGAAGATTACGAAACGCCATATTCCTTATCGATAGAAGGATATTTGAAGGCAGAACGATATTCAATCCCATGGTACGAGCGTGTTCTAATCAGATGGCTTGGCTCGGTGTCGGTCGAGAGAGAGAGAGAGAGAGAGAGAGAGAGAAAGAGAGAGAATAATCTGGCATGGATTCCACGAGATTAACCGGTACTTCCATCGAGATTTGTCGTCCATCTCATTCCGTTTTTTCTCCTCGATCCTTTCAGTAAGAACATCGTGGGTCCAATTAAGAGCGGATCCCCCGAGCATCGAACAGAGTCTCGGCCATCGTCCCTTTTGTTTCTATTCTGATCGTCACTAGGCGGCGCCATGAAAATGCTCGAGAATCTCTCCCTCTTTGGCCTCTTCTCCTCTTTATGCCATTCCGTTTTTCTGTGTTTTCTTCCTTCTCGCCCTTCTTGGCCGCGGTGTTTGCAGGAATTCCATCGCGTTCACCGGCGCGTTTCCGTTTCTACACGCACGAATCGAACAGCGGGGATCCAATTAAAAGAAAGCACGAGTAAAGGAAATCATTTGGATCAAAGAGAGAGAGAGAGAGAGAGAGAAAGAGGGGGGGTAGGAGGGGAGAGTCAACAGGTGTACAAGGGAGAGATGGAGGTATAAACGTGCGTACAAACATATTTGTTGATACGATCTATAGTTTTAATATTCCAATTAACGACTGTGCCTAATTATTAAAGATTCTTAGACGTGTGTGCTCGTCTGTTACAGATCAGACAGGAGAAACCTTACTACATCGCCGATCCGGAGGTGGACTCGCTGGTGAGTATTCTTCGACTTCACTTTAATTTCACGAATGATTATATCTCATTTCCGCGACGCAATCTCAAAAAAATATTCTCCAAATTTTATTCGCACGCTTTACTCTCATACGAGAACGCTAACAAATGATAAAAAAAAAAAAAAAAAAGATACAACGAATTCGGTTAATTAATAAATTTTTGTACCCCAGTGGATAAATAATTAAAAAAAATGTCAGAGTAATTCTCCTTCTTCCTCCGAAGAAAGGCAGAAAATGGCTGTTTTCGTCAAGAATTCTTCGTTTATCCTTCGCTTGCTTTTCCCCCTCGCTGATTCGCGGCTAATCGTTCAATTTTATCCGACCATCGTTTCACTCGACACGTTCGTTTCGAAGAATGACGATGGAAAAACGGCACGTTTAATTGTCGGTGGGAGAAGAAGCAAGAAAGAGGCAAGGGAACGAGTCGGTGGAAAATCAAAAAAAAAAAAAAAAAAACAGGACGTTACGATAAATATCCTTCCGTGAGGATATAATGTACACTGTATACAACGATATTGCTTTGATATCTGATAATTGAAAAGAGGAAGGGAGAGAAGAAGAAAAAAGAAAGAAACGAACGTTGGAAATTTGAAAATTACTTCCTCCTCGAAGAGCGCATTAAGCCCATACACCGAGTATCCTGAAGCGAGCAGATATTATTACTTGCGAACTTTATCATATTCAATTATACTAGGGCTAATGGAAGATTCAGTTCGGGGTAAACCGAGTGTGTGAAAGAAGGCGATAATTAAAAAAAAAAAAAAAAAAAGAAAAAAAAGGGAAAAAAGAAACCGAAAGAGAAAGAGAAGGAGAGAAGAAAGGAAAAGGAAAGCCGAGAGGAACACGAGGAGTCGGCGAGTTCGCCTTTGTTTCCTCGTGGCTGGACGCGGCGGCCATTCGAATGGCAGACCTTCGAGGAGAGCAGACCGGAGGAAGAAATATTTCAAACGACCCTTCGCGTTCTCTGATCGAGATAACGGATAGTGGGCTTTTTAAATAACTCGGGTGTATTCGTTGGTGGACGTGGACGGCGCGCACACGCGGGCCCATCGATGGCTCGGCTCAAAAGTCGACCTGCCATTATGGATTCCTTTTTCGAGACCGTTGTCCCTGATTCTCATTGATCTTTCCTTTCTTGTGGTGGCTCGTGTTTCGCTGCGTATGATCGAGGGTCTTTTTTTTCTTTTTTTCTTTTTTTTTTTTTTTTTTTGGAAAATGGGTCTATTACAGGTAAAGCCTTCTCGTAGGTAAGCAAGCTTGTCCGAGAAGTTTCTCGCTTTTTGAAATGTATTCTGGATTTATACAGATGGTGATGTAGCGATAAGGATTGCCATTGAGAAAATTTCTTTCTCCAATCCTATCGAAATTGACAAAGAAACATATATTTGTAAATTAAAAAATTAAAGATTTGCAATTGAGAATAGGAAATGTTTCGTCGAGCCACGCATAGAAACCGAGCTTTTTTTATTCGTGTGAAGAATGAAAATTTTCCCTCAAAAAAAAAAAACTTCTCGATAAAAAGAATTCAGAATTATATAGAAATATCCCCGAATTTAAGAGAACGTGCAACATATTACGACGTTATATACAACGTCTATAATTTCTTTCTGAGATCTGATTTCTAATTATCCGTGAAAAAGCGACACGTCGATGAGTCGAGGTCGGCAATATTTCATATCATAAAGTTCGTTCAAGCCTTACCGCGCGTTTTCATCTGCACTGGGGGGGGGGAAAAGGTGTCTCGCGTTTTCGAATATTCGCTCGTAATTCAAAATTGGATATATCGAGCGTGTTAATGGTGAACCGGTGTTACGTTGTGTTTCGCGTTCTCCCTCCCTCCTGCCCCCTTTTTATTTTTCGTTTTCTCCCTCCTCTCCTCCTCCCTCCTCTCCTCCCTCCCCCTCTTCGTCGAGTCCGCGGTACAACGGTGGGAAAAAACGAAAACAAAAAAAAAATATATATATATATATATGTATAGAGGGAGAAGGAAAACGGACGACGGGGATGCATTTCGTTGACGTTGTTCGCATCGTTGGCCTCAATTTTTCAAAATGTCACGCCCGTTATCTGAGCTGTCACGACGGCATCGGTCCGCGCGCAAACATCCACGCAAGGTGTACCCCGCTCGAATCTCGCGCCGCTGTTGTCACAACTGTCGCTCGGTCTCGATCTGTTGAAACAGAAAACGAACGAAATAAAACCAAAAAAAAAAAAAAAAAAAAAAGGAAAAAAGAAAAAAAGGAAAAAAAAACTGAAAATAAAAATATTGGAATGGAAAGAAAAGAGAGAGAGAGAGAGAGAGTACTAAAGGGAGAAGAGGATGAAACGAGCGAGATAAATATTACATGTATGTGTATATATTATCGCGTATCGGTGATGGTGTACACGTATATACATATATTCGTACGTATGGTGGATTCGCATCATCGAGAGAGCGGTGACGAATTATGCATCCGTGACATTAAATAAATGTAAAGCGCGCGTTTCATCTAAATTTTAAAAGGAAACGAGACGGTTCGCTGATTTTTCCAGCGACGCGTTCTGTTACGCACTTCTCGAATAAAGTTATTCTCTATCATTTCTTTCTTCTCTCACGACGAATTGTTTTCTTTTTTGTTTTTTAGATACTCGCTTCAACGTTTTTTCTTTTACGAAAGAGAGGGGGAGGAGGGGGAAGAAAAAAAGCAGGTTACCATCTAACAGAAACATTACGCAGAATTACAGAAATTTTTCGTTCATCGTCGAAATCTTTATGAATAATACGATAATGCTCGAGCGAACCATTCCGAACCATTCTAACACGGTCATTATCGATCCAGTTACGCCATTATTGCACCTGTTGCTACAAATGGAATAATGTTTCTTTCGCGCGAGGGACGACCAATAACGCCGCACACAACATCTCCGACTACAATTCTAAACCGCGAACGCTTTGAAAATGATTCATCGTGAATCGTCGTTGCACGCCTCGGAATCGGCCAATTCCGAAATGTTTTCGAGATCGCGATCACACCGCGGCAGGGGAGGGACGATCTCTATTCCCTCGCCCCCTCATAAGAGTTCTCCTCTCACCGGTTCAGAAAACTGGTCCAATTAACTAACGCACGCCTCCCCAACATTGCAAAAACTCGCGAGTCGAATCCGCTAGAAAATTTACGAACGGCTCCAAGGTGCGGAGGGAGGGAGGTCGAGGAAAGTCGAGGAGAGAGAGAGAGAGAGAGAGAGGCTTCCTCGAGTTGGACGATCGAAAATCGCATTGGTGGCTCGTTCACCGGTGCAGAAACCGGTGGCGTGGCTTCATTACGCCCGTGGCAAATCGCAATCTACGAGCAATGAGCTTCTATCGTAAAGAAGAGGCACGTAACGTCCGCGGTTTTTGCTGTCCGCGCCCTTTGCTCCCCCCTCCCCTTTGTTTCCATCCTTTCTTGAGAGGGAAAGGGGGGAGGGAGAGGCGAGGCCCCTTTTATTCCACCACGACTCTTCTCTTCTCTTCTCTTCTCTTCTCTTCTCTTCTCTCGGCTCCATCTCGCGCCGTCCACGGCCAGAAACTGGCTTTTTGCCGCGATTATTTTGCCAGAGTGAAGCCACGCGGTTCTCTGTTACGGGAAGAGAGGAAGAGAGAGAGAGAGAGAGAGAGAGTGGTCGGGGGTTACACGCACGATGCGTTGATTGGAAAGGTCGGCTGGAAACGACGCGGTGACGCGATCGAGGGAACGTCGGGGAGCGTCGAAAGGGCTCGAGATGGCGGAAAATTCGACGCAGATGCCGCTGGTCCCCCGTTGGAAAGGTTTTCGAAAAAAGGGCCGAGTTTCACCAGCTCGGTCCCTCAGGGGTGGCGCAAACAAAGGAAATCGTTGCGCTCTTCGAGTGCTTTCTCCGTGAACCTCGAAATCGCTCGCTCGAATATTTCCTTCGATTTGGGCTGTTCAATCCATCGTTTTCGCAAGATTCTTTATTTTTTTTTGGAAAATTTCCCTTCCACGGATTTCGATACGAAGCGATTCTTGTTGCAATACGTACGTGGATAACGTCTTGCGACGTTTATCAAGAGAGAGTTGTTTACAATTATTTTTATTTGTATCCTTTGGTTTCTTCTTGGATGACAGAAAAGCGCCAGAAGTATGAAACACGTTCGATAAATATTTAAATAATATTCTATTCGATACAATGATGAAACGTGTTAAAAACACGATCGAAGCGTAATTATTTTTACTTTTCTGCGGCTCTCTTCGTTCCTATAAAAGTAAAACGTGTATTCAACCGTATTAAGAATACATTTATAAAAAGAGATATTGTCTTTCTTCGTGTTCAAGACGCGAGAACAAGTCGTCAGAGTGAGACAAAACGGTGCACGTATCGCAAATATGTCGCTCACTCTTCTTTCCTCCATTTCTCTTACCTTCTTAATCTTTAACCTTCGGCATGCAAAACGAAGAGTTGTTTCTTCGGCCGGAAGAGGCACGTACAATGGCGGACGAGGTAAAAAGCGTGTACCGTGGCCGCTCTCTTCAATCCACCGAAGGTCAAGGGTTTCCTTCGAGGTTAAAAGCGAGGATCCTCGTTCGCCCTTTGCGAATCCTTCGTGGAGGAGCCGTGCTGCTCTCTATTCTTCCGCTGGAATCCGTGTTTCCCGCCTGGCACGCGGATCTTATCTGACAACGAGACAACGTTTCTTACGGAACGAAAATATCTAGCCTTCGAGGATTCCTTTCTTTTTTTCTTTTCTTTTTTTTTCCCCCTCCCTGTCGTCTAATTCCATTCTTATCTCTCGTGTCCTCGAGAACTTTCTCCTCTTTCTCGTTCCTGGTGTTAACTCCCTGCTCAATATTCCGATATTTTCTCTCGACGATAAAAGTTTCCCCCATGCAAATCCGTTTCTCTCGATTTTTCAGAAAAATTGCAACGAATTGTTCTCAAAATATCGTCAGACGAAGATTCAAACATGGAAAGTAATATAATTTAATAACATTCCTGGTACCAG